AATTGGATAACTAGTAAAACTTGGTCAAATTCTCAAAGTTCAAAAACTAAATCAAAGAAGAAGGCTGGAAATTGTAAACTAATGGAAAATATTTCAAAACATTTTTACTATTTTTAACTAACAGAGCAGAACATTTTACAGATCTCTGCAAGCCTTTTGTTTTCCTTTCCTCTCTCATTAAACTATCCCTGCTCCCCACAACATCACTTTCTTTCATTTGGAATTTTGGTTTATAGCACTTTATAATGAACCTAATCTTTGTTTTGATCTCATTCTTTGCACAAAAACAAAAACACACATGGGGAGGGCAAAAGTAGATTTATAGTTGTGAGTATGGGAAACAGAATTTATTCTTGTACTATTATTTATTAATTATTGTATTATTTTTCATATGAACAACTGTAAATTTACCGTTGCCTCACCCTGCACACATGACACATTAATCAGAAAGTCAGGCTTGTTTTAAAAGTTTTAATCACTGACATAAATGATGTGAAGTTATACAATAATTGAATAGATCATAGAATTGTACACACATAAGAACCACATTAAAACCCAAGCTAAAGCCAGGCAGAGAAGGACAAATATCTTAGGATTTCACTTATATGTGGAATCTCATGAACATAATAAACTAATGAACAAAATATATCCAGAAGCATGGAGGCACGGAACAGAATGATATATCTCAGAGGGGGAGGGGATGACAGGAAGAGATTAACCAAAAACTTATATACAATACATACTAGTGGCCTGGTGCACAAAATTCATGCACATTAAAAGGAAATTATTTAGGGGAAATGAAGATGGCGGCATTAGGTAAACACTCCTAAATGGCTACCAGACACAAGTCTTAAAAAAAAAACCAAAACTATAAAACAAATGTCTATCTCCCAAAAACCAAACAAAAGCTGGCTGAGAGGAAGCCCTACATCTAGACTGAAAGAGAAAGAGGAAAATTCAGGGCACAAGCGCTGAAAAACTGAGGTGGGGGAAGGGGGGAAAGACGCAATAAGAGCTGGCTGTGGATCCAGGTTGGTGGAGGGTGGTGCTTTCTTCAACCCAAAGAGAGACAAGTGCCCAATCTCTCTGAAATCCAGTTTCTGGGGAGAGGATAGACTGTCTACCATTGGGTCAGAAAGTGAGGCTGGCTAGCTTGCAGAGCTGAGATTGTTTACTGAGCTGTGGTGCCAGGGGAGATGCAGGGACCCCCATCCGAGAGGTGGTGGACAGGCAGTCATCACTGTTGGCCACACCCCAGCCTAGTGATATCCTGAGACTCCGCCCTGAGACTCTGCCCCTCACAACACATCCAAGCTACAACCATCAGACTTTACATATGAATGGCTTTCTCTGGTGCAGTTTAGCAAAATTGCAACCTAGGGCAAAGAGATCCAAGGAGGACAAGACTGTAATTCATACTGGCCTCACACAGTAGCTGAACTCTACCTCATTGAGACCCAGAAACCAGAGTTCTAGTGCTCAGTTTCAATCCCTCACACCCAAAGTGACACATTCGGTAGATGGTCTCAATGAGCACCAAAGCCCCACTGAAACAAGGTGTGTCTCTAGCGCAGCAGTTCTTCCTTTATAGACACAGCAGATCCTCACAGACAATTGGCCTGGAGGTCAATTTCTCCCAGTGTACCAACAGTAATCACACTAAGCCCACAAAAGGATATAGCAAAAACGACCACCTCAGGTTATTAGGGAAACTGAGCTACTGACCCCTATAAGTCACTGACCACACAAAGCCACTCCACCAACACAGGGAGACAGCAAAATGAGGAAACACAGAAGCATGACACGAATGGAAGAGCTGGAGGAGAGTAAATTAATGGACGACACACAGTTCAGAATCACATTTATAAGATTACTCAAGAATCTTCCAAAAACCTTTGAGAAATTTGATGAGACCTCCAAGAAGCTTGCTGAGACCTTCAAGGACCTCAATGAGAATACAAAAAAACAAAAAACAAAAAAAAAGGAAAAGGACCAGCCAGAAATTAAGCATACAAAGTCTGAAATAAAGAATATACAGAAACTCAACTATAGGTCAATATGCCCCAAGAATCAAACCAAAGAACTGAAATATAAGAAAGCAAAAATCACCCAACCAGAGAGGCAAAAAGAGAGAATAATCTGAAAGTGTGAGGATAGTGTAAGGAGCCTCTGGGATGGCTTAAAACGTACCAACATCCAGATTTTTGGGGTGCCAGAAAAAGAGAGTGAGCAGAATATGAAGGCTTAATGGAAGAAATAATGACAGAAAACTTTCCCTACCTGGTGAAAAAAATAGACCTACTAGTTCAGGAAGCGCACAGGACCCCAAACAGGAGGAATCCAAAGAGGAACACTCCAAGACACATCATAATTAAGATGCCAAGAGCAAAAGACAAAGAGAAAATCTTACAAGCAGCAAGAGAAAAACAACTAGTTATCTACAAGGGAGTACCCATACAACTGTCATCTGATTTCTCAACAGAAACTATGCAGGCCAGAAGGAAGTGGCAAGAAATATTCAAAATGATGAACAACAAGAACCTACAACCAAGATTACTCTACCCAGCAAAGCTATCATTCAGAATTGAAGGTTAGATAAAGAGCTTCACAGACAAGAAAAAGTTAAAGGAGTTCATCAACACCTAACCAGGATTATATGAAATGTTGAAGGTATTCTTTAAGAAGAGGAAAAAGAAGAAAAAGGTAAAGGTAAAAAATTATGAACAACAAAAAGGCATCAAATACATACCTACCAACAAGCAAATCTAAAAATCAAGAGAATAAAAAAAAATGTGAAGAACAAAATGGACTGGTGAATATAATAGAATCAGGGAAATAGAAAGGAATTTGACTAACAATTCACAGAGGGAAAGGGGTCTGAGGGATGTGGGAAGAGATTGGAAATTTTACATCTATGGATGAAGACAATGGTGGGGGTAAGGGCATGGGTTGGGGTTGGGAGTTAGGTGGAGGGGTGCTAAGGTGGGGGAGAGGAACACCTGTAATAATCTGAACAATAAATTTTATTCATTTATTTAAAAAATAAATAAATAATATAAAATTTTAAAAAGGAAATTATTTAGAGGAAATATTTTAATATTGCTATTTGCCCTTTCTCTATAATAGAAGTGTCAGAGATGAAAGAAAATTAGTAGAGTATATATGAAAATCTCCCTCCTGTCAGAGTCTGGGATGTGCAATGGGACCCAGAGTCAAGTTCCCACCTGCATGCACACCTGAAATTGCATAAGACCCAAACCCAGCTGGCCCCACCCCCATTAAACCCCACAGGGTCGGGGATGTGAGCCAGGCCTCACATCCCCTAATCCCAGAGCCGGGGTGGGGAGTGTGGCTTCAGTACCCCCGTGCAGGGGCAGGCAACCTCAGATCCCCTAGCCCCAGAGCCAGGGCAGGGGGCATGGCCTCAGATCCCCCAGCCCCAATTCATATTAGCTCTTTATCATATAGGATATATAACCCATGGACACAGACAATATTATGGTGAAGGCCTGGGGGATCAGGGTAGGGGCTAGGAAGAGGGGGGTTAAATAGGAGGGAAATTTGGAGATATCTATAATGCTGTCAATAATTTTAAAAAATTAAAAGAAAATTCTGCCACCTTTTGGCCTCAACATACACATCTGTAGAATGGCTAGTGGAACTCTAAGTGTTAAAGTCTAGGAGGTGAGACCCAGGAACAGAAGTCTCATAGATGTGTGGAGTGTCATTCAGCAGTTCCAAGAGGTACTACCAAGGTATCTACCCCATGAGGACAACACATTAAGATACTTAAATTATCATCTGTACCTAGACAAGTTTAAGCTGGGGCTCCACCTGTTCCCACTGAGGGATGCCTCAATAGCCCCCTCTGGAAAGAGTTCATTTTCTGACAGCCCCTGAGGGTTGTTATGAGACTTGGCTGCTTCCTATAATGACCCACATTTGTTTAAGCTTTTGATGTGCCACACTCTGGCTGTGCCTGCTCCGTGTGCCTGTTTGCTAATCTGAGAGACAGAACTAATAGGTAGAAAGATTCCAATGGGAGAACATGGGTGGAGCTCCCTGCATGATGCCTGGCACCTTGTCCAATGCTAGAAGCCTGGGAGCTGTGGTGAGTCCTGTCCTTCTGAGTCCTGTAATCAAAGTGGTTGCTATTTAATGCATCTACCACTGGTCTTACACACAACAGGTGCTCAATAAATAAACCTGGGCTCTAATCCTGGCTCTAAAGTAGGGGTGTCGAACTCAATCAGAGAAGGGGCCAAAATCTAAAATCCAGCCTAAATCGCGGGCCGAATGGTTTACTGAACAGTCATAAACTGTCATTGTGATGGAAACGCAGCGGAGTGCAGTGATGACAGCGTGGTGTGGGCCACATTGCAAGGCCTGGCGGGACGGATTTGGCCCGCGGGCCTTGTGTTTGACACATGTGCTCTAAGGCTTTGAACATGTCCCTTTCCCTCCTAAGCCTTGGTTTGCCCTTTTGAGAAACGGGCTCACCATGGGCACTGGGCAGGAGTAGAGTGTCTAGGATGGTTAAGTTTTAGGTGGAGTGTTCTTACTTATGCGAGGTGACAATGACCTTGTTCCCAGGTCAATGGACCAACCTGCCCTTCAGATTGTGACACCCCTCCCCCACCTATGACCTCATCCCCAGAGTCACCAGTGGAACCCTGAGGAGTCTGTGAGGTCACCCCATTCTTCTCCACAAACACTCCATGGGGCAGCAGCCACTGGCTGTCTCTGTCTTATGGGTGCTTTATAGACCCCTGGACTTGAAAGCCATGATCAGGAAGAAGATTCTGAGAGAGACACGGAGTGTTGGGAACCAATGACACTCCAAGTGCTGACCCCGGGAGGCCAGAACCAGGGGCAGAAGTCTTGTAGATGTGCGGAGTGTCATTCAGCAGCTTCAGGAGTGCCACCACCACCAGGCCACCATGGTCCTCGGCCGGCTACTGCTCTGGGTGGTGGCTCTCCCCCTGGTCAAGACAGGCGCCATGGACTGCATCTTTTGTGATTTGACCAAGTCCTCCAAGTACCCTCGCAATCCCATAACCTGTGGTGGTAACAAGGAGTGCTTCATGGACAAAGGTAAGGTCCCCAGCCTCAGCCCTGTCCTCAACAAAGGCACCATGAAAATCAGTTCATATGGTCGCCTTGAAGAGCCTATCATCTATCAGGGTGTCACCTACAGCCTCACCTCCACCTACAACTATGGTAAACTGTGTAACAGGGCCCCCACCCCCATAGTCAGCCTGAAGGCAGGGACCACCTGCCTGGCACTGCATGTGCTGCTGCTGTTTCAGCCTGGGACTGGTCTCAGGGCTCCCCTGCTCCTTGTGCCTCCTGCCCCTCCCCCTTCCCTTTCCCTCTTAAATGGTCAGAAGCCCTAGACAAAAAAAAAAAAATAAATAAAACGGTAATGATAAAGCTGTACAGTACTTTTTCATGGAAATTATAGTGTAATACTTCTCAATCTGATATAGCTAAGAGGAGTGATGACTTGAGAAAATTATCCAGATAATCTAAGACCAGAGGCCAAGTTTCTTTAAACTGTGAAAGGTGATTGCTTAAAAAGATACAGGGCATGGTTGGCTGAACTGCATGTAGATCTCTTGAGACTGCATCACATTATCTAGTGGTTCTTAAACTTGCCTGACTATTAGAAACACCTGCCAACCTCACACTAATAAAATCAGAATCTCTGGGGTGGGCCCCAAGCACTGATAGTCATTTAAAAATCCCTAAGAACCATGAGCAAAACAGAATGATACATTCCGTTGCAAAATTTTATTAGGTGAGTGTCCAAACTGGAAATGAGGAAGTACAATTCTCATTATTCTCAGATGACATGATATTGTACGTATAAAAATCTAAAGACTTTACAAAAAAAAACTACTAGATTTAATAAGTGAATGTGGCAAAGTACCAGGATACAAAATTAACACCCAGAAATTGATAGCATTTTTATACATCAATAATGAACTCTCAGAGAAACTAAAAAATAAAAATAAAAAAATCCCATTTGCCATTGCAACAACAACAAAAAATAAGTTTATTTGGAATAAACTTAACCAAGGAGGTAAAAGACCTGTACTCTGAAAACTACATGACATTGAAAACATAAAGATACAAACAAGTGGAAGCATATACTATGTTAATGGATTGGAAGAATTAACATAATTAAAATGTCTGTACTACCAAAAGCAATCTAAAGATTCAACACAATCCCTATTAAAATACCAGTGGCAGTCCAGCTGGTGTGGCTAAGTGGTTGAGCATTGACAAATGAGTCAGGAGGTTACTGGTTGGATTCTCAATCAAGGCACATGTGGTACCAGGCTAGATCCCCAGGAGGGGGCATGCAGGAGGCAACCAATCAATGTTCTCTCATTGTTTTTTCTATCTTTCTATCCTTCCCCTAACATCTTCCTAAAAAATCATTAAAAAACATATTTTAACAAATAAAATACCAATGGAACAAACACTCAGGAAAATTTATTTAGAACTGAAAAATACCTCAAATAGCTGCAGCAATCTTGAGAAAGAACAAAGTTTGAGGAATCACAATATCAACTTATACTACAAAGCCACTGTAATCAAAACAGCTTGGTACTAGCACAATAACAGGCATATAGATCAATGGATCAGAGTAGAAACCCCAGAAATTGACCCAAGCCATTATTCTCAATTAATATTTGACAAAAGAGGCACTAGCTTCAATGAATGGTGTTTAGAAAACTGGACATATACAGCAAAAAAATGAAACTAGACCACCAACTTACACCATACACAATAATAAATTCAAACTAGATAAAAGACCTAAATGTAAGTTTTGAAACCATGAAATCCTAGAAGAAACCATAGGCAGCAAAATCTCAGACATCTCTCATAGCAACATCTTTACAGATACATCTCCTAGGGCAAATGGGACTAAGGAGAAAAGAAACAAATGGAACTACATCCAAATAAAAAGATTCTGCACAGCAAAAGAAACCATCAAGAAAACCAAAGGTTAGCTCACTGTATGAGAGACTGTTTTGGCAATAAGACATCTGATAAAGTGTTAATATCCAAAATACATAAGAAACACATCTCAACAAAAGGAAGATAAGTAACCCAATTAAAAAATGGACAAAGGACCTAAATAGACACTTCTCCAGAGCAGACATACAGATGGCCAAGAGACATATGAAAACATGCTCAAAGCCTCTGCTCATCAGAGAGATTCAAATTAAAATGACAATGAGGTATTTCCCCACACCTGTCAGAATGGATACCATAAAAAAAACCTAAACAAATGACAAGTGCTGGTGAGAATGTGGAGAAAAGAAAACCTAGTACACTGCTGATGGGAATGCAAACTGGTGCAGCCATTATGGAAAACAGTATGGAGTTTCCCCAAAAAATTAAATATGGAATTGCCACTTGACCTAGTGATCCCTCTTCTAGGAATATATCCTAAGAAACCCTAAATACCAATCAGAAAGAATGTATGCACCCATATGTTCATTGCAGCACAATTGACAATAACTAAGATCTTGAAATAGCCCAAGTGCCATCAGTAGATGAGTGGATAAAAAAGCAGTGGTACATTTACCCCATGGAATACTATGTAGCAGTTAAAAAGAAGGATTTCTTAACCTTTGAGACAGTATGGAGGAACCTGGAAAGTATTACCAGTATGCTAAGGGAAATAAGCCAGTCAGAGGAAGGTAAGTATCATAGCATCTCACTCATACTTGGAATGTAATGAACAAAATAAACTGATGAACAAAATAGATCCAGAAACAGAAACATTGAACAAACTGAGGAATCTCAGAGGGAAGGCACGAGAGGGTGTGTGGGTGGGAAGTCATCAATCACAGATATTGTATGCATATATGCATAACCCATGGACACAGACAATAGAGTGGTAAAAACCTGGGGCATGGACAGTGGTGAGCTAAAAGGGGTCCGGGGAAAGGAACATATGTGATACTTTCAAAAATAAAGATTAAAAAAAAAGAAAATAGTAACTAAAAATAATTTATATTAGCCCATATACATGTAATTTTATTTCTAGGCTCTAAATTTTGTTCTATTGTGTTTCTGTTTTTCTACAAATACCATGCTGTTTTGATTATTGTTGCTCTGTAGTATAATTTGAAATCAGGTAGTGTGATACCTCCATCTTTCTTTTTGTTTTGTTTGTTTTTTTCTCTCAGGATTGCTTCTGGCCATTCAGAACTTTTTGTGGTTCCATCCAAAGCTGATGATTTTTTGGGGGGTTCTATTTCTTTTTATTTTAATATTTTTAACTTTTTTTTTTGGGGGGGGGGGAGAGATAGAAACATCAATGATGAGAGAGAAACATCACTAATTGGCTACCTCCTTCTCATTCCCTACTGGGGTCTGAGTCCAAAACTGGGTATGTGCCCTGACCTGGAATTAAACTGGTGACCTCTTGGTTCATATGTGAACATTCAACTAGTGAGTTACACCAGCTGGCTTGTTCTATTTCTTTAAAAAATGGCAACCAAAGGACTTGTTATGCAAGCATATAAGCCTAACTAGTGGACACAGACAATAGGGGGGTGAGGTCATGAGTGGGGGGTGGGTGGGAAGGTAATGGGGGATGAGGACAAATATGTAATACCTCAATCAATAAAGAAATTAAAATGAAAAAAGTGCGATTTTTATGGGGATTTAATTAAATCTGTATATTGCTTTGGGTTATATAACCATTTAAACTATGTGGATTCTTCCAAATCCATGGATTTATCAATTGAAAAGATAAAGACTTAAATTTGTATAACAGTCTTAACCTTGTTTATTGTGCTTTGCCTGAAATCCTCCCATAACTGGTTTCCCCCACCCCCAACATCTTCTTTGTCTTTAGTTGGAGATGCTATTTAAGGTGGTGTTTTGGGCTATTTCAAGGAATGACTCAATTTTCCTGGGTCTTTCCCATATATTCAGGAGGTATACATGTTATTAAGCTTCTTATTGGTTTTCTTCTTTCATGTATTTTTGTAACAAATGAAACACAGCCAAAAACCTAGAAGGGTAGAGGGAAAATTATTTTTCCTTCTGACATGGTCATGAGTTCATTCAGTGGAAGCAGGAGCCCTGGCAGGGCCTATCTGGCTAGAGCTGGAAACACAAAGACTAGACTGTTGTTGCCAAAGATACTGCCTGAGGCACAAAGGAAGGGAGAAAAGTACCCAGAAATCTTTAACTCTCCAATCAGCCATAAGCCAAATAGCTGCAAGCCAGGTGTCAAGAAGCCTAGCACTTAGCTTACAAGGCTCAATGTCCCACTGGCACCCAGCAGATCAGGTAAAGGAGTAAGGAGTATATCTGAGGATATAGGAATAAACCTTATGAGACAACAACCCTACTCCTCGGCATATACAGTACAAGGAGCACTGTTTATAATAGGATAAAATAAAACTGTAAACATCTATCAGTAGCATAATGTATAAATAAATGGTGGTTTATGCCTGCAATGGAATATGGCAGTGAAAATAAATGAACTACAGCTCTACTCACTGACATAGATGAATCCCGGCAACATAATGCTGATTGAAAAAGCAGTCACACAAAACTAGATGCAATATGATCCCAATTATTTGAAGTTCAAAAGCTTGCAGAACAAAACAATTTATTATTTATCAATATATTCTTACATGGCGAGACTATAAAGCAAAGAAAATTTCAGGAGTGTGATTATCTCTATTAATAGTGAGGAAGTGATGGAACTGAGGAGTGGTCCATAGGTGGCTTCAAATTACTGAGGATATTTGAAATTAAAAAGTTGTTTATTTTATTATTTAAATCATATATTGTAAATATTACTTTATGGCTATGTAATAAAATATTTTAAGATAAATATATGTTTGCATGATCAAGTTAAAACAATAACTACCAACTAAAAGGAAAGTAGTGTTACCGGAGAGCCTCCCGCTTGCCTAGGGATTTTCCTAACTCCTTATCCTGCACAGTAGCTCTTTCCTCTGGAAAATCTTCCCCTTTCTTTTTGCAGTTTTTTTTTTACACTGAAAAAAATAGTTTAATAATCATAGGAGACCAGAGGCTGATTCTGTGGGGAGGAGAGTGGGGAGAGTTGATCATGAAAAATGATTTTTCCCCTAGTTTGAAAATGACCTATGGCAACATTTTCCTTGAAGCTTTTAGCTTTATATATTATTGTCAGTCCCACTGAAACTTTGGGGAAACAGTCTTCCTGCTGAAGGCTCTATTGCAGCTAATACGTGTCTCCAGAATACAGAAAGGCATTTCAAAATCATTCAAGAAGTATTTATTGAGTGCTTGCTATGTGAATAGCATCAAGCTGAATTTAAAATGAACTTGTATAAAAACATATACATAACACATAGACCCAGACAAC